CCCGCACTAGCCCAGATTAGGCCGCTCGTACACTGTTGCCATGTCCCTAACCGCCGCAGCCTCAGTGAACCCCACTGCCACCCGTGCGTCAAGAGTCGTGGCAAGAGGAGGACACCCACTGCCCTTCTAGAAATCATCGGTGCCACACTTCCAAAGAAGGGCATGATGCCTGCCGGCAATGAAGGACACATAGTTGTAGGCTTGTAGCTGCCACCGCGGCACATCACATGCCACACCGGATCCTTCCCGGAATGGGCCAGGAGGACCGCCGCTACAAGTCAATGCCAATGTCTCTTTGTTGACCGAGGCACCCGCTATCAAATCTAAGAGCCACGTTCACACCACGGTCAAGGTTCGCTATTGTCGGCCACACCTTTGCCCGATGGTGGATGGGAAGAAGAGGGGCCATAGGGGTGGTGGCAGCTTAGGGTTGGGGGTACCACCCGAGTCACCCACTTGGGAACGATGCAAGCCTGCTTTTGTCACTAGCGCCGTTTCTTAGCCTCTGGATCTTTTTTTATATATGAAGCGTAATCAATGAGGAAATGACGAAACCGTCTCTTATTTTACGCATAGATCATTAATTGTCGTATTTTTCATCTAATTATATCTGCGCCGATTCGGCTAAAAGTGGGATCTGCTACGATAGATACGCAACATATCTAAGAAAATGCATTAGAATAGCAGATATCCAATTCGGCTCCGAGAGCATTTGCGCGTATCAAAACTATTAAAAATATTTTTGCAAATATCAAAAACAATACAAAAGTCTAAATTTGGGAGGGGCATGCTTTAATCGGCCTGATTAATTGGCGAATGCAAGTTTTAATCTGTTCATAGGATGAGTCATGTGCCTCGAGGGGTCGTATTAGGAATGGGCGCCTGGCTCGCCGCCCGAGGCAACGTGTAGACTATCCAACGGGGATAGGTGGCAATATATCCCTGATCTTCCACGCATATTTTAGAATCATGCTATACACACGACAAGATTCGGACGAACCATAGACGATGGTTAAAATCCAGCCGGACATGTGTGCATACATTGAACACCAGCCCCTGGATTTTCATGTCGTGCATACATCGTGTACCAGGATCGTGCATGAAGCAGTTTCGTTTTAGCAAGCCTTCCTGTTCTCTCCTCCTCGCCATCTCCCTCGCACTCTCCCTCTCCCTCTCTCTCCAGCAGAGACAGGGGAAATACAGTGCGTGAAGCCGGCGGCGACTGGACGGCGGCCGGCGGAGGTCGATGGATCGGTCCAAGGAGTGGTGGCAGAAGGCGGTGGTGGTGCCGGTGAGGCGCGCGTGGGTCGTCGTCGCCGCGCGCCTGCGTCGCAAGAAACAGCATGGTGAGTCAACTTACTTGATTAGTAATTGCTACCTTGGCATGTCCATATCTTCTGCTGATCTGCATCGAGTTGCACGGTTAAGCATCCATACATGATTGCTTGGATTGTGTATTACAAGCAGCAAAGCTTGATCCATATAGCATCTGCGATTCCCTGCGTAATCCGGTGCCGATCAAATCGATCCGCTAGTAGGATTGCAACGCGTGAAAGGTCAAAGGTTTGAAGATCAACACGCAGGTGTTCTTCGTCCCGACGCGCACACACGTGAGCGGGCGAGCGGGCGGGCGCCTGACGTCTGAACCGATGGTGCGTACTTGCACGCGCGATTAGGATGGCGCAGCAGCAGCTTATGAATCTCGACTCACGAGGCGTCCCTTGCGTGCGCGGCCGTCGTCTAGTTTCTGCGCACACAACCGGACAAGCCATGCAGTCCTCCGTATAAATATCGGCATGCAGCGCTGCAGGATAGATACATGCATGCATGCATGCATACACTACACATGCAAGCCTCTGCCTGGAAGTTTGTGGCATTAAATTGTTAAAAGAAGAACCGTTCTGGTGGGCAGGCACGTGGCCGCCGTGCATCTCATGCACGCGCACCACTGGACTCCATAGCCGACGACCATGCCGCACCTGCGCCTATCGTCGTAGTGGCATGGCAGACCTTGGTTTTCGTCTGTTTCTTCTTCGTACGCACCTCGTCGGGAAGGGGCGCCCGTATATCTAATCAGGCTTCACATGTATGGATGACGATGAGTTTGTCCAGGGGGGGAATGTTTGTTTCCTCTCTAGCAGTAAATGCCCATCTAGAGTAAAATAAAAGAGAGAGATTTAGTGTGAATTAATCATATCGATCCTGTTTCTTGGAGCATTTTCGTTTTTGCACATTGTATAGAGTGATTGTAGGAGAGTACGTTTTGTTGCGCCGCTAGTGCAATGCTTAGAATTCGTTTCTTATAGTTATGCACCGCTTGACACGTATGTCCTATTTGATCATCAGTTCAGGAGTAGGAATTGGTTGAAGCGGGTAGACATGGACGAATGGGTGCCGCACTGTTGGGCGGCAACTGCCACTTCCTCCGGGGCGTGCTTCGCCGTTCTTCAGTCCTTGTTGTCTCTTGGCCACTGGCCAAAAGAACTATCTGTACGTATGTAGTGCGTCACCATACGTGCATCACTAGCGATGGAATGGGTAGACAGATAAGAGATAGCAGATACGTACATACACAGTACGTAGCGTAGGGACCGGACGATGGAGGGAAAGCGGCGGCATGGTCAGCGACACCTGCTCGCCGCTGTGCATGCGCGCCATGGACGCACGCGCGCGGCGGAAGCCACCTGCGCATGGCGTGGGACTGACCGGATGTAGTGATGTATGTGTTGCTGACGACTGAAACTTCTTATTTGTTCATTCAGATGGCCGGGGCGGCGCGCTGGTGAAGCTCCACGACGACGTGCAGACGTGCGCGTACGAGGACGTGCAGGTCATGTGGGAGATGCTGCAGCGCTCCGAGACGGGGAAGATGATGGCCGGGGCGCCGCCGCCCAAGGGCTCCGCGCTCGTCTGGCTCGGCCCCCGCCGCCGCCACCACTCCATCGACCTCCGCCCCCGGTGCTGAGCGCCGGCCGCCGCAGCCTGTGTCATCGTCAGATAATGGAGAGAGTCAAGAGTCAGAGTCGCCCTGCTATATGCATATAGCTCCTTTGTCTCCTGCTTGATGTAAATATTTTGCAGTTAATTTCGGTCAAGAGATACCAGTCTCTTTTTATGCCTTCTGCGTCAGTCTCTCACCTAGCTTCAGAAGTTCAGAACCATTTCATCGTCGGTCCCAAATGGAGCAAAGCATTGGGAGAAATTCGCTGGCCAGCTTTCGCTCTCTGTCAGCGACTCTGCAAAGCAACAGAATATCCAGTTCAGTCGCTATGTGGCAAAAACAAATTGCCAAAAAAGAACGAAGTTTGACATTTTTGACTTAGCCGTCTTCAGTAGAGATGTACACCAGCATCTGAAACTGCAGGCATATACAGAGCGCATCATAAACCTCCAGGGAAAGTCTGAAACAGGAACAGAGCAGAGTGCCCTAAGAAGCAGAGTTCATTTGCATTTCACAGCTCGAAATTGCATCCAAATTTATTGAGCAGGGTACCTTTCATTTCACTTGTACTCCCTCCGTAAATAAATATAAGAGCTTTTAGATCACTAAAGTAGTGATCTAAAAGGTCTTATATTTGTTTACGGAGGGAGTAGTATCTATCCAGTGTGGAGAACACGAGAGTTAATCCAGTCCAGAGATGAACAATAGAACACGAGAGGTAATCCAGTCCAGCTGAGATGAAAAATGGTGGCAACTCCAGTCTTCAGGGCTAAAGGCAAGGCCGTGATGTCGAGGGAGAACAGCAGATGCATCCAGTGCTCTGCAACAGGTATTGATATTCCAACACATCCATGTCAGCACACCAGGGAAATAGCAAGTTCTCCATAAAAGGTTATCCATAGTTCCCTTACCATATTTAGAAACAACAGACCGCTTAAGCAACACATCCAGTAACACACAGGGTAGGTAGATTCATATCCAAATCTATCCTACAAAATATGAATAATACCATGACAGTGTGTACTACAGCAAAACGGGGAAACTTTGCAATAATAAAATAAAGCATGGAGAATTAGAACTAAGCGGAGAAAACACAATGTATTGATAATACCTTAAATAACCGTCAGAGCCTCAGATAAGCCGGAGGGCAATTTCCAGCTTCTCAAACACTGGTGCGTATTCGAGAAAAAAGTTGCAGCTTCTCAAAGTTGATAAGAAATCAGATACGTAAATAAAGGTTAGCACCAAATCCCCAACAGAGAGACGGAGAGGAATGCACTGATATCAATTATGTAAAGAGATGGATTCATCAAATCAATCTTGACAAATGTTTATGTCCAGAAAAGCTCATCTAAATATGTTCTTTATGATGTATCTGTGTGCTGGAGAATACTTGGGATATGAAACGATTGTAAATGGCAGCGATAGCTCACTGACGCAGACCACACAAGTGCACAGAGTTGACTGAATGGAACTTTTTCAAACGTTACATAGAGCAGAAGATAAAGTTCAGGCATCATACTCGCAGCATGCATCTATCAACACAGGAAATGCGGCCATTCAGGTACCGTCAGCGTTGCTTCTTCAAAATTTGGTAAACTAGCAAAGTCCCTACATGCAATTATATGGAACTGGAATTGTACCGGATATTTTTTTCCGTTCCAGAAGTAAATATTGGACAAAAAAGGTAAGATGGGATACCAAAATTTTGAACAAATAATCCATTTGCTCCAGGTGACAACAAGAGAACCGCGATCATGATACACCACTCAATTATGGATACATCTACCATTTCCTTTCTGGAGGACTCTACAGTAAAAACACAAGCACTTGAGACAACACACCAGCCGCCCCTGAACAGACACATGGGTGCCGAGGGTGAAAAGAGAAATATTGGATCTAGAATATAACTTGCAAAAAAGTTACAAAGAATTTAAATAAAATTAACATCCATGATCCTGAATTAGTACTGAAGATACTCTAGAAAATTTTGCAATCAATAATGTACATCCTGACCTAGAAACTTACAGAACATTTTCCTATAAGTTACAAGACAGCACTTGCATTTTGCTGTCCTCTGTCCCTTTATGCCAGATGTTACATAGAAGTCGGGACTTATGGATGTAACAGTCTCCACCGCGGGAGTGCTAATGAACCCTATGCAGCATGAACAGAAGATGACTTCCTTTATTGGGGCATCAATTATCAGGACAAAAGAATTGACTTTCTTTCACAACAAATCTGGGAGCAGAATTCTGCCTTGATCCCCAAACATGCATCTTCTATGATGTGACTGCAGTACTGTTACTTCAGCTTGAATGTACATCAGATGGGGCACGAAGAAATACATCGGACAAAATTTCATCTGAACTAGCAAGCTCCATCTGTCAGTCGTTTTCCTCCGAAGGACGTAGACATATCTTCTCAAGGAGGACTGGCCAGTCCTCCCCAAGCTGTTGAGGGTTTAGCTGCATGGCTACACTGAAATCATGAGCAGAGATCAAGTGTTGACTTCTGCTATCATTTGTAGCATCTGATTGTCCACTGCTTGACTGCATCTGAACTTGGTTCGGCAACCAAACACCATTAATTTGCTTTCCATGGGCATGCTGCTTGTATGATGCCCCTTTTCTTGCATCTCTTCGAACATCAGCTCCTTTTAACTCAACAGATGACCTAATCAGGTTCTTCAAGTACGAGTCCAAACCATTATTCAGAAGTTCAGCACAATCCATTGTGACACCTGCCAGACCCAGTGTTTCTGCTGTTTTCTCCATGCGCTTACGCAGAACCTCCGTGTTCAACAGCTGACCTTGCTCATAACAGCTGCTGAAGTGATCTTCCCCTGCATTAACAGCTGGCGGTAGTAATTTCCTTGATCCACCTACACTTGCTGAACAAAAGGGTATCCCAAGTGGAGCTCGCACAGGACTTTTCGCCATTTGAGCAGAATGACCTGCAGCATCGCTCACAATTCTTCTTTGCCTAAGCGCATTTTCAGGTAGCAACTGGTCCACACGCAGATGCTTTGCCAATGGCTCTGCAGCTTCACATTGTTGAAAAGACAATGATCTCTTCAACTCAAGTGAACTTAATGCGCCGTTCTCTGTAACTGCAGATCCCCCATGAACAACCTGGGTGTGACTGGCAACAGCCTCCACCCTACCATTTGGGCCCATATGTTTCAACCGATCTTTCAACTGATGATCTTGCAGTGCGCCCATAGACCTCGATCCTTGGACCTGTAACAGCCTGGCATCCCCGTTACAAGAATTAAGCAATCCAGCAGCCTGGGAACCCTTCTTCCCCGACGGTCCGACGGACCTCCCAACATCTGGTGGTGGAGGTGGGCACTGTGCCTGGTAGACATTGTAGAGAACCGCGCGGATGAGCCGGTTGTGCAGCCGGAGGTTCTCCCGGCCCAATGTAAGCAGGCACATCTTATCAAAATCAGGCTTACTGAGCTTCTGCGACAGGTAGCCACTCAAGTAGCCGAAGTAGCGCCGCGACCGGTCCGGACCAAGCCGCTTCTCCATCTGAGCCTTGAGCTCCCGGAGATCAATGCGACCATTCTGCTGCTGCTGCTGCTGCGGCGGGTGCGGTTGCGGACCCCGAGGCCCCGACGGCTGCCGCTGCTGCTGAGGTGGAGCCATCGACCAAGCCTCCCCTCTAACTGTATCCATACAACCACCACCCCTCCCTCGGAACCCCCCCAATATGTGATTGGGAGACGGAGCACAGAAGCCACGAATCCGCACGAAACCCAGCTCGGGATCGAATCACTAGGGCTTATGCCGCCTCCCGCAGAGCGCGAGGCCGTAGACCAATTCCCAGCTCGCCGGCCGCGGAGGGGATCTCATCTCCAGTGGCAGCGCACGAATTGCCTACCAGCCGCCCCGGACGCGGTGCCGCTGGCCCGAATCGAGCATGCGGGCGGACCAATTGCGCGCGCCGGCCAAACCCTAGGGCAATGGAGGCATGATCCCGGGCGCCGGCGAGCTCGTGCCGCCCGGATCTCCGGCGGGGAATGGGCGCGAACCGACACGAATCCGACGGGGAATTGAGCTGACCTCCGGATTGGCGGGGCCGCGGATTGGCCCGGCCGAGACGAATTGCGCCCGCCCGCCCGCCGGAATCTCGAAGTGGCGCGCCGGTGCTGCCGCCCGCCGCTGCTGGTTGGCGGTTGCTCGGGTCGGCGCGGGGCGGGGCCCGGATGCTGCTGCTGCTGCCGCGCGGGGGGTGGGGTGGGGTGGGGGTGGGGGTGGGGGCGGGGTGGATGGGTCCTTGCTTCGCTCCCTTGCTTCCCTTCGTGTTCCTCTCCCTCTCGCAATCTCGGCTTGGGCTCTCGCTTTTTTTCCTCTCCGGGGGTGGTATTTTTTTTCGGCCGTTGAATTGGATTTGATCGAGCCGAGAGAGGCCAGCGGGTGGGGACTAACCGAGCCAGCAGGCCTTTTGCTTCCCCGGCCCTTCTTGTAGTCGTGCGTGCGTGCGTGGGTGTGTGTGTGCGCGCGTGATGTGGCCTCCTCTGCTCATCTGCCTCTGCCGCCGCTGATCATTTGATGGCTCCCGATTCTGATTCCGATTGCAGCATCATGATGCAATGAAGCCAAAGCCTGCGTCCTGCGTCCTGCGTCTGCGTGCTTTCACCGTCTTCAAGTCCACATGGGTTACCATACGTTGTGTGGTGAAGTCCACGTGGGTTACCATGGATCTAGGGTTTCACCGCGGGGGTGCTAGTTTATTTTTCCTTTTGAAGAGAACTTGGTTTGAATGCCATGTAGAAATATCGCAAATTCAACATCTATGTTATTTTTTTTTTGCCACGATTACAAGAGAAATGTGTTAGAAATTGTCAAAAAATAAGATATGTGCAAACATGTACTTGGCTCCCTCTACCGTCGGCAAGGCATCAACCTAGACGGTGTCTTTCTGGTTCTCGAGTTTGTGGTCGATGTCGTGTGTTGCTCCATACAGGCTCCAAATGCATCTGTGAGGCAATTGACACCTTTCTAGATCACCTTAATACCATATTTGCAATACACACAAGGTTAGCATAACCACTACGTAGCAAAATAAAGTTTGCATTTTTTAAGGGGTTACATGGTCCAAATAGTATTATTATTTTCGCAAACCTCATTGCAGAAGAACAGAACAATGTGTCATTTCATCAAAGCCAAACAAATATGTGTTATTTTGTCGGTTCTTGCTTGCAAAAAGTAAGTGTGTTCCGGTAAGTCGTGAGGTATAAGCGAATTGGCGTGTTTCGAGGAAGTTTGACAAGAAAATGTTACAAAACTTGGTTTGTTGATGATGAAAAACATAGGGGTGACTCCGGCAACGAGCAAGCTCACTAGGTAACTTAGGTCTAGAAAACAACCACCTAATGTAATATACACACTTATAAAACTATCACGAGATGGCCTTCATAGAAAAAGTACACCTTCTAATGGCTATGCCCAACCACATTATTGTCACAAAGAGAGGGATCCTTGTAGCTCTTTGATTCAATGGTCGTATGTCTTCTATAGAAGTTGAATGTTTACGTGAAATTTCAATGAATCAGATAGGTCCTTTGATGTAGGGTGGAACCCTAGGGGCCGATCTTTCAAGATTTGGAGGGGAACCCGCGAAGAACACGAGGGGAAACACGAGGGAAATCACGAGAGGAACACTCAAGAACAAGTCCAATCACACATCCACTAGACAATCAAACACACAAGATCCACAAGGATACATGAACAACAAAGAGAAAGATACAAGGTAGAGTTCATCCCAAATCCAAAGGAGATGGGGTTTTGGTGATCTAGATGATCCTTCCCACGATGGGGGCCTTGAATCCCTCAGGATCTTCTCACATGGAGGTCTTGAACTCCATGGGAGTGGTCTCTCTCTCTCTCTCAAGAGGAGGAGGTAGGAGCAAACTCACATTCAAATGAGCTATCATATTTGCTAACCCTAAAAATGGGGGGGAGGAGGTCTATTTATAGTCTAAGCCACGAAGGGGTAAGTGAGGGGCAAAATGGGTACACGGGCCTCGGCCCGATACGTTGCACGCAGGCAAGGCCGGATGATCCGGAAGGTGGTCCGGATGATCCGGGCGTCAGGGATTCAGATGATCCGGCTTCGTCCAGGTCCGTTCGGTCGTCGTAGCCAAATGATCCGGGAGAGGGTCCGAATGATCCGGCTGAGCCCAGATGTCCGGGAGGAGGTCCGGATGTCCGACCTATCTCCAGGAACTGCTCCGTCTTCTTCTCCTTTCTTCCGTCTTCTCTTCCACGCTTCTCTCACGGACGATGTAGTCGTTCCTTGGCGCTTGCACTCCTCCTCGACATTTGTGAAGCTTCGACCATACCTATGCATGCACGATGGAGGGTCAAGTAGTATACCATCCTCGAAGGGGTCAAGTGAACACGTGTAAACGAGATGATTCACCTTTATGTATGTGAAGTAGATGTCGCACGTGTCACTTGCCAAATGGACTCTTGACATGGTGATGTCCATAGGATGCTCCGCATCATCCTTAGATTTTTTACATAGGAGTAGCTTTAAAAATACCTATATGAATCCTTGGCTCCCCCTAGGCTTCAGCTTTTGTATAAACCCATAAGTTCGCTTCTAGGGAAGCTTTGAGAAATCCATCTACTATTTGAATTTATTGTTTGTGGTTCGCATTGTATAACGTCAAAATTGTTTGTTTAGTGTTTAATTTATAATATCGTATTTGTAGGCAGGGAGACTAACCTCTCCCTGGTAGCTCTAGTGACTCTGTGTGGGCAAATTCACTCGTGCCCTCCTTCTAGGTCACGTGGTAGAAGTGGGCCTGGGCCAAAGTGATGGGCCTCTCTCATACAACACTCCCCCTTAAGAGGGGTGATATATTCCCATCTTGTCACATGCTACACTGCATTCTCTAGTTCCCAGTTGTGACGCCCCCGATTCAATCGTACACTAATCATACACGCAAACGTGTACGATCAAGATCAGGGACTCACGGGAAGATATCGCAACACAACTCTAAATAAAATAAGTCATACAAGCATCATATTACAAGCCAGGGGCCTCGAGGGCTCGAATACAAGAGCTCGATCATAGACGAGTCAGCGGAAGCAACAATATCTGAGTACAGACATAAGTTAAACAAGTTTGCCTTAAGAAGGCTAGCACAAACTGGGATACAGATCGAAAGATGCGCAGGCCTCCTACCTGGGATCCTCCTAAACTACTCCTGGTCGTCGTCAGCGGCCTGCACATAGTAGTAGGCACCTCCCGAGTAATAGCAGTCGTCATCGATAGTGGCGTCTGGCTCCTGGACTCCAACGTCTAGACGCAACAATCGGATATAGAAAGGGGGAAAAGGGGGAGCAAGGCAACCGTGAGTACTCATCCAAAGTACTCGCAAGCAAGGAGCTACACTACATATGCATTGGTATCAATGAAAGGGGGTAGTATATGTGGACTAAACTGCAAAATGCCAGAATAAGGGGGGATAGCTAGTCCTGTCGAAGACTACGCTTCTGGCCGCCTCCATCTTGCAGCATGTAGAAGAGAGTAGATGGTAAGTTCACCAAGTATCATCGCATAGCATAATCCTCCCGGTGATCCTCCCCTCATCGCCCTGTGAGAGAGCAGTCACCGGTTGTATCTGGCACTTGGAAGGGTGTGTTTAATTAAGTATCTGGTTCTAGTTGTCATAAGGTCAAGGTACAAGTTTGGGTCGTCCTTTTACCGAGGGACACGGCTATTCGAATAGATCAACTTCCCTGCAGGGGTGCACCACATTTCCCAACACGCTTGATCCCCTTTTGCCGGACACACTTTTCTAGGTCATGCCCGGCCTCGAAAGATCAACACATTACAGCCCCACCTAGGCACAACAGATAGGTCAGCACGCCGGTCTAAATCCTATGGCGCAGGGGTCTGGGCCCATCGCCCATTGCACACCTGCACGTTGCGTACGCGGCCGGCGAGCAGACCTAACCTCCCTTATACAAGAGCAGGCGTTCCAGTCCAACCTGGCGCGCGCCGCTTAGTCGCTGACGTCAAGAAGGCTTCGGCTGATACCACGACGTCGAGTGCCCATAACTGTTCTCGCGTAGTTGGTTAGTGCGTATAGGCCAGTGGCCAAAACTCAGATCAAATACCAAGATCTCGTTAAGCGTGTTATTTTGAAATAACCACGGATGCCGACCGGGGCCAGGCCCACCTCTCTCCTAGGTGGTACTGTCGCTCCGCCACAAAGGTTCACTCAGAGGGTCGTCCGGACAAACGTCCTTTCGGACCCAATCCGTGAAACACTCGCGGGTACTCTACGAGCCGACCCGTCTTTAGTCACCACAAGTATCATATATTATGTATAAGTATATACCCGTGATCACCTCCCGAGTGATCACGGCCCGATAGTATAGCATGGCAGACAAACAAGAATGTAGGGCCACTAATGATAAACTAGTATCCTATACTAAGCATTTAGGATTGCAGGTAAGGTATCAATGACTGTAGCAACAAAGACAGGCTATGCATCAGGATAGGATTAACGGAAAGTAGTAACATACTACACTACTCTAATGCAAGCAGTAGAGATAAGAATAGGCGATGTCTGGTGGCTTGCCTGGTTGCTCTGGCAAGGAGTCGTCAACAACGTAGTCGATCAGGGCACCAGCAACGGCGTCAGTCTCGTAGTCTA